GGAATAACCCAATAGAGATAGAGAGATTGATGATATAAGAGAGAAACATTTATGGCAAAAAAAAACTGAGGACAGGGAAGGGCTGACTCCAGAGCTCAATGGTAGGATTAGCCTCTGATAAGTAGAAACCATCTCTTCCACCGGAATAAAAGGATAGGAGGAGAAGATGAGACAGATACAGGGAAAGTCTGTAGATTTATTTACCAGGGCAAAGTTGAGGAAGTTATATCAGAAGATCTGGATAAGGTCAAAGTGTAATGGAAGATATTGATCAGTTAGGTTGAAAGGATAGATAGGTGGTTGTGCTCAGAGAATGGAATTTCTGATTCAAGGCTTCAAAGGTAGAAGAGTTTTGAGTGATAACGAGACCATTCGAGTCAGTGGCTGCGATAGAGTGGAGGTAAGTGATGTGAAGGAGGCCAAATAAATGAGAGGCCAAGATATTAGATGAAGGTTTTTTTTGTTTGTTTTTTTTTGCGGTACGCGGGCCTCTCACTGCTGTGGCCTCTCCCGTTGCGGAGCACAGGCTCCGGATGCGCAGGCTCAGCGGCCATGTCTCACGGGCCCAGCCGCTCTGCAGCGTGTGAGATCTTCCCGGACCGGGGCATGAACCCGTGTCCCCTGCATCGGCAGGCAGACTCTCAGCCGCTACGCCACCAGGGAAGCCCTTAGATGAAGTTTTTCATGGCTTTTCATGGCAAGTAATGGGAAGCCAAGCTTCAGCTGACTTAAATTGTTGGAATATTAGGTCATATATCTTGAAGTCCACAAAGTGGTATTCAAGGTTGACCTCATCCACTGGCTCCAAACGTGTTTCACTGCAGTTTTCTCATTATTTCCCCCCCTCCATGTGTTGGTTTCACACTCCATCTAGTAGCAAATAAAAATATCCTGTGAGGGATTCCCTGGTGGCGCAGTGGTTGAGAGTCCGCCTGCCGATGCAGGGGACACAGGTTCGTGCCCCGATCCGGGAGGATCCCACATGCCGCGGAGCGGCTGGGCCCGTGAGCCATGGCTGCTGAGCCTGCGCTCCACAGCGGGAGAGGCCACAACAGTGAGAGGCCCGCGTACCGCAAAAAAAAAAATATCCTGTGAGACCTCTCAGAATTTCTAAAATATTAATTTTAATTAGAAATCATTCCAAGAGATACATTATTATCCAAATTTATTTAGCCATGGAATGCCTTTCTGAGGACACTAGTGTTGCGTGGAATATACTTTGGAAAATGCTTCTATAACCTTGCTAGACAACAGTTGTTGACTATTACAGTGGCTAGCCACAGAAACTTACTCTGGCTTATATAAGAAAAAAAAGAATTTATTAAATAACACTGACTAGGGACTTCCCTGGTGGCACAGTGGTTAAGAATCCGCCTGCCAATGCAGGGAACATGGGTTCGATCCCTGATCTGGGAAGATCCCACATGCCGCGGAGCAACAAAGCCCGTGTGCCACATCTACTGAGCCTGTACTCTAGAGCCCGCAAGCCACAACTGCTGAAGCCCGCATGCCACAAGTACTGAAGCCCACACACCTAGAGCCTGTGCTCCACAACAAGAGAAGCCACCGTAATGAGAAGCCAGCACACCGCAACGAAGAGTAGCCTCCGCTCTCCACAACTAGAGAAAAGCCCTCGCGCAGCAACGAAGACCCAATGCAGCCATTAATTAATTAATTAATTAATTTAAAAAACATAACACTGACTAGATCATAAACTACCCAGGGATGCTGGAGAACCAGGTTTGGGGTACACATTGCAGACATGCTGGGGAAGACACCATGGCTGTCACCACTAAGTACTAAACTTGTACTGCTTGAAAACCACTACCCTCCAACACTGGACACCACTGTGGGCATTATAACCACCACTGCCCCAAGAACTCAGTCTTCCTGCAAATGCTGTTGTCTGTGCTGCAGGAAGGTGTATCTGATTGGTTGAGCCTAGTTCATTTGCCTATAGTCTAGCTGCAAAGGAGGCTGGGAAAGCAATTATCTAGTATTTCCAACTTCTAAAATAGAAAGAGAGTTCTGTCTCCCTCCAAAATTTATAAGGTGAAGGATTTCTTGAATCTAAGAAGGATAATTTAATGGCTAAAAAGAATTTTTTAATGGCTACATAATACACTAATTTCTTTGCCCAACTTGAACTATATTATTTCCCGCCTACCCATATTTACACTTAAAAGAAAAAAACACTTCAACATAATGCAACTCAAAATGCAATTACCCACTCACCAAAAGCAGTGCAACCCAAAGTCTCATTATTTACTACATCCAGTTACAAATCTAGAACTTCTAAGTGCTATTTTTGAAATCACACCTGTATATATGATATCTTAATCAGGAAGTTCACCGCTATAATAAGCAAGGTTCTATTGTGGATAATAGGAACCATGCTAGCTATTTTAATCAGAAAGCATTTAATACAGCGAATTAGGTACTAAAAAAAATCACTGAAATGACTAGAAGAACAAACACTAAACTGGGCCCCAAGGAATGACTCCAAGACATCGTAGGCTGTCCCGACATGGGAAATGAAAGTTTTACATCACGCGGGAAGGAATCTGCCCTCCCAGGTTATGGTTTCGGGATCACACCATCTTGGCCACCATCTGGAAATAAGCAAGCCATTGTCCTCCTGGAACACTCTGCGATAGCTACAACCTGGGATCAGGAAGCTGCTGCCAGAACACTTGTCTCCAGAGCCACATCACACCTGCGAAGTCACACCAGCAAAATGGAGGCCTCACAGTCTGCCAACTCTTCCCCAACAGTTCCCAATTCAATCTCACATGAAAGTATCACTGTAAAGTGAGTGCACTTTAAAGGCAATACTGAGTGAGACAGCATGATGGTGACTAAGATGGTCAGCAAGCCCACAGATGGTGGTACCAAAGCAGAAGCTTGGCAGAAGGGAAATCCAGATTAAGACTCTCTTCCAATAAAATCAGATCGTTGCTTCATCCAGGATAAAAGGAATCCAGTGTAATTAAATTGACACGAGGGGGAATTCTCTGGCAGTCCAGTGGTTAGGACTCAGTGCCTTCGCTGCTGAGGGCCCAGGTTCAATCCCTGATTGGGGGAACTAAGATCCCACAAGCCATACAGCACAGCCAAAAAAAAGAAAGAAAAAAAAAAACCAAACCGACACGAGGTGCCTTGCTGTTGGAGTCTCTGGATTGTGTCACCAAGTCCAAAGGTTCAGTGTTGGTTGCTGCAGCTGACAAGTTAGGCGCTCAGCAGTGACAGGTTATCCTTGGAGAGGCTGCCTAACTGCGATCAGTGGCCCTGATGCTCATGGCCTAGAGTGGCATGGGAGAGCAGCCCAATTATCCTGCCCAATGAAGGGAAGAGAAGTGGTGCTGAGGAGCTGAAAGGGCCACCTGGAGGGGCCTTGCTGACAAGATAAAGGGGCAGGGTGCGTGGACTGACCACTGGAGACTGATAGGAAAATAGACATCTCAGCAGATGCCTTCGTGGAAGGGTGTGCCAGGACCAGGTAGGATGCATTATACCTCAGAAGATGCTAGCATGAGCAGTGTCTCTTATCTGATGTCATGACACTGTATAATTCTCTGAGATTTAAATGCCATCCAGGGAAGGAGAAAAGAGACAAAAAAAATCCTAAAGTTGATCAAGTTTCAACCTCAAATAACCTAAAAAAGCTTGGACCTGACTGTAAGTGGTTTCTCTGTCTTCAGGCAGAATGGCAGTTTGAAAGGGAATTGTTATTGGAATAGACAATTATGTTTCTATTTTTGTAATTGTATAAGTTGGCTTGAAAATTTATACTTGCTACACAGCATAAGGCATTGATGCAGTCCTTGAGTTGGCTGACTTGAATACAAATTGCCTAGTATGGTGTAGTAGTTAAAAGTATGGTTTCAGGGGCCAAATTGCCCACGTTCAAATCCCAACTCTGATCCCACTAGCTTAGGTAAGATACTTACCCACTGTGTGCCTCAGTTTCCCTATCTATAAGGCAGAGATGATGATGATGGCAATAGAACCAAATCCATCAGGTTATTGTTAGGATTCAATGAGTTAATACGACTGGATGATTTAGAACAGTTTCTGGCACACAGTGCTGTATAAATGTTTGCATCTTTAGGTAAAGAATGTTTGAAACCTTTAGTCTTGAAACTTCTATGGTTGCATGATCCCTGAAAGAATTTTGGAAAAGTAGGTACTTTTTTTTTTTTTTTTGCAGTATGCGGGCCTCTCACTGCTGTGGCCTCTCCCGTTGCGGAGCACAGGCTCCAGACACGCAGGCTCAGCGGCCATGGCTCACGGGCCCAGCAGCTCCACGGCATGTGGGATCTTCCCGGACCAGGGCACGAACCCGTGTCCCCTGCATCGGCAGGTGGACTCTCAACCACTGCACCACCAGGGAAGCCCAAAACTAGGTACTTTTAAGTTGACTCTTTTGAGATCTAAAAGCTTCATCATTTAAATAACGGCAAAGGACATAATTTCTGGTGTGCTGTAAATATTAACATTTAGAAAAAGCTGTTATGTCACTTTAAAAAAATGTATACGCTAGAGCCTAAGTACCACAGGAATTTTATACCCACTTTATCCACTTAATTTTTTTTTCCACTTAAAACTAATACATGGACAGGCTCTTCTTAACGGTTGGAAATTTTACATTATTCTCTTTCTTCTTGAACTTGCATTTCTTTCACTCCACCCACAGAATTATAAGCTAATGTAATGCATTTATATGCTTAAAGTCTCTTATTGATCACCATGTCATACCTCTCTATAGTAAATTTATGTATTTAATAGGAATTAAAATGCTAAAATTCTTATAGTCAAATTCTTTGAGTATAAGAATCTAAGTTACATTAGACAATTTTTGTACCCTAGTTTACAACCTCTTTATCTTTCCCCCCATTTGGCTGTCACTGTGCTAACCAGCTACGTTTGGAGGTTGAGGACACCTCTCTAAAACTGCATTCCCTTATCTCTTGCTTTCTGCTTCCAAGGCTCTTTGTTACCTCTGTGTCGACGTTCTTCCAGGAAATTAGCTCCTCTGAGGCAACCCTGGACCAGAGAGGTAAACAGCTCAATAATAAATCCTATTTTGGTTCTCCCTCCTGTGCTTCACTTTCCCCAGTCTCTCATTCCTGTCCCCGAGAATCTCTTCCTAGAATATATTACCCATACAGGCCTTATCTCAGGCCCTACTTTTAGGGGAACCTAAGCTAAAATCTAAGAGTTAAAATTTTTTTTCCAGATTCAATTATCGTTACAAGAATTATTAGTATGTCAATCAAAACAATAAATATTACAAATGTTAATAATTATTAAACATAAAAAGTAAAGTTTTATTAAAATTGCATCTTAGTGACATGACTTTTTAAAATGTCATTCATATATCTGTGGGAAGAATATTACTTATGGCTAGAATGGGACAGGATTCAGCATTAACTACTTTTTATATCAAGAGTATTCTCAAAATGTTAAAAACTTAATTCTCTGACAGATTTTAAGCACATGCCAAAATTTTAACTTATTAATCAGGACCAGCAAGATGACAAAACCAGTTCAAAGTTGAAATAAGATTATTAAATCAGATACAAAATTGGTTAATGACCTAAAGGCATTAAAGCTATAACCTATGAGGTTATCTTCTCCCTGGGAAAGAAATCATTTGCTTCTTATCAGTTTTCTATAAATTGACATCTAACTCTATAGAGTTGTAAAATGTGTGTACCCTAATTAACAGTAAATAGTAAATTAAACTAATTTGTATTCTCTTAGAAAGTCAGATAACCCTTTAGGGAGGCTTGTTACTACAATGCTGTACAATAACATTAAAAGTTTGGAACAACTTCTCTTAACACTAGTTATTACGTTTAGAAATATAAATGCTTAGAAATGTTCACATAAATAAGTACATGAGAATGGAAGTTTTGTTAGTGCAATAGCATTAAATTCTTTGAACTCTTACTGAGTTATATGCCAAAAAATCACAAGTGACCTAACATCAAAAATTTAAAATACCAGTTGATACATCAATTAGGCCCTCTTTTAGTCATGTTGTAAGCAAAGAAATAGAAAACACTTACCTTGTGGAAGAATTTGTTACCCATTCATTAAAGTCATTCACTTTCTCAGTTTCTGGAAAGTATACCACAAAGACATCAAATACTTATTAACTACCTCTCAAACATTTTCACTTGCCTTGGAGGTACACCACACAACCCAAATGCCACAAAAAGGGCTAAGAAAATCTTTGCCAATGCAACATGCTTTGATAAACTGTGTTCATCTTATCATGTGCTTCAAGTGTATTTTAATGAAACACTTGTCTTTCATTCAATTTATGGAAAAAGTATTATATATTAGCCAAATGGCCAAGTCAGTCTTCACTGTTAAGTCAATCAGCTACATCAGTCTTTCATTTAAAAAGACTTCATTTTGGAGAGTTAGAGTGTTTTATTTTATTTTATTTTTAAATTTATTTTATTTTATTATTTATTTTTGGCCACATTGGGTCTTTGCTGCTACGCGCGGGCTTTTTCTCTAGTTGCGGCGAGTGGGGGCTACTCTTCATTGTGGTGCGCAGGCTTCTCATTGCGGTGGCTTCTCTTGTTGTGAAACATGGGCTCTAGGCATGTGGGCTTCAGTAGTTGTGGCACACAGCCTCAGTAGTTGTGGCGTGTGGGCTTAGTTGCTCCGAGGCATGTGGGATCTTCCCAGCCCAGGGCTCGAACCCGTGTCCCCTGCATTGGCAGGCGGATTCTTAACCACTGCACCACCAGGGAAGCCCCAGAATAAGCGTTTTAAAATCAAATGTATTGGGACTTCGCTGGCGGTCCAGTGGTTGACTCTGCGCTTCCACTGCAGGGGGCACGGGTTCCATCCCTGGTTGGGGAAGTAAGATTCCATATGCTGCACGGTGCAGCCAAAAAAAAAAAGTAATTCATTATCTCTAAAATCAAAATGTATTGATATATACATACAGTAAAATGTCTATATAGAGTTTACAGTTGGATAGGTTTTGACAAATACATACACCTAGGTAAGCATCACAATCAACATTTGCATCACCACAGCAAGTTCCCTCACGTGACATTGCAGTTAAATTCCTCTCCCCACACCCCCAATCTCAGGTAACCACTGATTTGATTTCTCAGACTACAGACAAGTTTTGCCTGTTCTGAAACTTCATATAAATGTACTCTTTTTTGGTCTTTTTCACTCAGCATGTTTTTGAGATTCATCCATGTTGTTTTATGTATCAGTAGTTTGTTTTTCTTTATTCTGGGTAGTAACCTTTTGTATGAATATACCACAGTTTATCCACTTATTTGATAGGTATTTAGGTTGTTTCCAGTTTTTGGATATTATGAATAAGGTTTCTATCATTCTTGTACAAGTTTTTGGTTTTTTTAAATATTTATTTTGGCTGCACCGGGTCTTAGTTGCGGCACACAGGATCTTCTTTGCGGCATGCAGGATCTTTTTTTAATTTAATTTTATTTATTTATTTATTTTTTTGCAGTACGCTGGCCTCTCACTGTTGTGGCCTCTCCCGTTGCGGAGCACAGGCTCCGGACGCACAGGCCCAGCGGCCATGGCTCACGGGCCCAGCCGCTCGGCGGCACGTGGGATCTTCCTGGACCGGGGCACAAACCCACGTCCCCCGCATCGGCAGGTGGACTCTCAACCACTGCGCCACCAGGGAAGCCCGGCATGCAGGATCTTTAGTTGCGGCATGCGGGCTTCTTAGTTGTGGCATGTGAACCCTTAGTTGCGGCATGCGTGTGTGATCTAGTTCCCCGACTAGGGATTGAACCCAGGCCCCCTGCATTGGGAGCATGGAGTCTTATCCACTGGACCACCAGGTAAGTCCCTCTTGTACAAGTTTTTGTTTTTGTTTTTGCAGACTTCTGTTTTATATAAATCACATAATCCTGTAATCCTGGAATTGCTGGGTTGCATAGTAAGTGTACATTTAACTTTATAAAACACTCCCAAACTGTTTTCCAAAATGTTTGTACCATTTGACCTTCCCATCAACAATAAACTGGAGTGTTCTAGTTGCTCCACATCCCCTCTACACTTGTTATCAACAGTCTTTTTAATTTTAGCAATTCCAGCAGGTGGGAAATAGTATCTCATTATAGTTTTAATCTACATTTCTCTGTTGCCTAATATCACACATTTTCACATGCTTATTGGCCATTCTTATATCTTCTTTTGTGAAGTATCTGTTCAAGTCTTTGCCCAGGGGCAACAACGTAACTTCATTTTTCAAGTCAAATAAACATGTTAACATGAATCTGTATGACAACTATCTTAGTTTCAAATCCTAACTCTAAAGCTAATTCCAAATTCTAAGAGGTGAAGACCTGTCATGAATTTGTCACTTGGATGACTTCAAACTTCTTTCTCTTCTCCTTAGACCTCTCCCTCAGGAGAAATGCCTTCTTTAATAACACGGGACTGGAAGAAGCAAATTTTCATCACTTCCACTCTACAACATTTCTGAATTCAAAACATCTCCAAATGGTGCAAACTGCCCATTTCTAACGTTAGGTTTTACTCTTGACAAACTACGCTTATGACAACTATGTACAGGACATAAAGCCTTTCTTTAATCAAGGAAGCTTAGTACTATTTCAATTTACCTTGGTTTGGCACCCCAGAGGTGTTTGCATAATACAGCAATGCACCATATTAAAATTCAGGGTAAGAGGTATGCCTTTCTTCTGTGAAGTGGGGAAAGGTGAATAGTGAGTGATAAGGGAGGTGGGAATGAACCATCCTGATGACATATCCTGGGAAATCTTTTTTGTTTAACTGTGATAAAATGTATGTAACAAAATTTAAACCACTTTCAAGTGTACAGTTCTGTAGCATTAAGTACATTCACATTGTTGTGTAACTAACACCACCATCCATCTTCAGAACATTTTCATCTTTCCCCACTTAAATTCTGTATCCATTAAACACTAACACCCAACCCCCCTAGTTCCTGGCAACCACCAGTCTTCATCTCTATGAATTTGACTGGTACCTCATGTAAGTGGAATCATACAGTATTTGTCCTTTTGTGACTGGCTTATTTTACTTAGCATAATGTCTTCAAGGGTCATCCATGTTTTAGCATGTGTCAGAATTTCCTTCCTTTTAAAGGCTGCATAACATTGCATTGTATGTGTATACCTCATTTTGTTAATCTACTCATCTGTTGATGGACCCAAGTTGCTTCAACCTTTTTTACTATTATGAAAAATGCTATAAACAGAGGTGTGCAAATGTCCATTCAAGTCCCTGCATTCAGTTCTTTTGGGTATATACCCAGAAGTGGAATTGCTGGATCATATGGTAATTGTTTAATTTTTTGAGGAATCCTGGGAAATCACTTTTGGGAAAATGAAGACCTGGATATCAATTCAGTAAAGATTTTGTGCCCATGTATTTCTTGTAAAGTCTTTACATACCCCAGACTGAAAACTCTTGTTCTGAGTCACACCTTAGAACATAAAGGAGGTAATGTAATGTGTGGTGAAAAAAGTGTGAGTTTGGAATAAGACAGGGGTGGTTAGAATCCAGTATTTAGACTAGAAACTGAGGGCAAGCCACTTCTCTCTCCAGTTTCCTTTTCCATAAAATGAGGCTAATAATACCTACCCATTAGGACCATTAATGGGATTTAAATAGAATGAATGAAAAGAACCTACCACAGAGCTTGACAATTCACTTGAAAGGACATTGTTTAGAGACCTTGGTACACAGGACAGAGGAATAGCTCTGCCCTAGAGCATGGCTGCCTGATGACAGCTACATGTGTGCAAACAGGTAATCACAATATAATGTAGTGCTGAGCCAAGATAGATGTATTGGGGAGAGGGGCATTTTATCCTCCTGAGAAAAGCCAGGTCTGCAAGAGGTGGCTCAAAATGTGAAGAATGAGCAAAAAGAAGTTTTAGGCAGAGGAAACAAGCCAAGGAAAGACAAAAAAGCATGAAAGAGCATGCTGTGAGGGAAACTTGAAGCAATCTGGTGTCACCACAACACAAAACGCAAAGACAATGGGAGCAAATGATGTTGAAGAAGCTTCCTAAGAGGCCTGGTAAAGATCTTGACTTGATCCTGTGCCTTGGTTTCCTTGTACACCTCAAATTCTTGTATAAAATGGAAATGATAATAGTACCTTTGTCATAGGCCTGTTAGGACTAAAGGCAAACGAAATGGGATAGTACACATAAAGCACTTAGAAGAGTGCCTGCCACATACTGAGGCCCAAATATTTTCTAATGTTAGTATTATTTTCTTGAGGGTGGCAGGAAAGGCTTTAAGCAGGGGAGTGACATGGTCACATCTGTGTTTTGGAAAGATCACTCTGGGGGAAGTAAGGAGGATGGATTGCAGGAGAGAATATTGGAGGCAAGTAGGCAAGTTACAAGGCTACAACAATAAATAGTCTAGGAAGTAGAAAAGGCCTGCCCTGTACAAGAGTGACAGTGAGGAAGGAGGGAATTCAGGTATTTAAAAAGTAGAAGAGAAGAGCTCTGATGCCTATTAGAATGTGGGAGGTGCAGGTGCACAAGGAGTCCTAGACAGAGCTCCTAGATTAGGCCCTCAAGGTTAGTTTTCTTCCTAAATGATCTCCCTCCCTCCATTCTCCAATAACAAAAAGGCCATCAAACACATTTCCTTTTAAAGTTTTATTAAAGTTTAATGGAACAATTTATATATATATATATATATATTTTGGTTAACCCCAGTACAAAAATACAGTTGACGACTTGACAAAAATGGCTCCATCTAGGGTTTGAAGGTTTGAGTTTCTCCAACAGTAACAGGGGAAAGCATGCTTCCAGCTGGGCTGAGTCCAAAGCACACAGCCATTCCTGCACACGCATGCGTGCAAACAGGGAAGCCAAGCCAGAGAAGAGGAAGGAAGTTGAAGGGATTCAGGAAGACGCCCAAGATTATTCCCAGGAGAGAAAGAGAAGAAACAGGCTGGTCTCCTTGGTGGGGTAGAATTATGGATTTACATTTAGGAATTGTTTTAAATGATAAGCTATTTCTGCAATTTTAACATTATAAAAAAGATGCTTCTGGTCTCTCTTCACCACTAAGGTGAGTAAAGCAGGAGGAAATGGAAAGATTCAGCTACTGCAGTGTGAGGAGTAAACCTCCAAATGGCTCAAGTTTTGTGTCAAAAGGTGTCATTCTTTACCTTCAACGACAGAGACATTTAGGTGAGAGGGGACAGGAGAAGGAAGTCTGCCACACTCTGCTGGATCACAAACATGGAGACCAGCTTCTGGCAGCAGAACTCTTCCACAGTGAGAGGGCCCCTTCCCATGGAGGCAGGAACAAGGTTTAAATGTTCTGAGTGATTCCTCAATATTCCCTTCCCTGCTGCCTTCCTTCTAGAACAGTAACTTTGATGAAAGGAGGGATACATTCATGTTACAACTCATCTTCGAGATGTTTCTCTCTGAAGGCATCACCCGTCAGCCTTTCCTGAGCTTCCTTCATCCCCTGAACAACTGTGAAATAAAGGTTGAGGGGAAAAGTATGAAGCACGTCTTTAATATTTGACATGTGACAACCAACACAGATTTTTATGTTTTAGGAGAAATATAAGAGGAGCACAGGATCTGGATTCAAGATCTAGTTCTGGATTTTAGCCCTGGAAAGTCTCTTGAATTTGTTTCCTCATCTATAAATAAGGTGATGCTACCTACTTCACACAGATTATAAAAATTAAATGAGAGAATGAATAATAAATGTGCTTTATAAACTATGAAGTCTTAAAAAAATGTTAGTAGTTACTTTGGCTTACCCTCCAGGATTAGAGTTGAACCCCTGTCACAGGCTGTAGATATTCACTTGACACTAAGGGAAAAGAAAACATCTTCCTACCATCCCCATCATCTCTTCTGGAGGATCGCTGCATTTAGTTCATATCCTGTGGAGGTTACAGTTTACACTGGTATGTGAGTGTGTGCGTGTACATGGAGGGAGGATGGTCTTCACTGAAAGAGGTCGTCATATCTAGTATCAATTACGTATGGAAGAAGTCAAGTTCTCAGGCACAGGAGAAACCTGGAAGGCAGGCCCTGGGCAGACGGAAGATGAAACTTCTCATCTATCTTGGGCATCAAGGAGGGCAGCTGTTTTGGTACAGGCTCCCCATACAATGGCAGGCCAGTTGTTAGGCTGAGCCAGAGTCTGTGCATCTCAGAAAGCAAACCAGGTAGTATAGTTTGTTACATCCCTTTTGTTTTGCCCAAGCCTTTAGTAAAGCCAGGTTTGAATATTCCAGTTTCATGTCAGCTGAGCCATGGAGAATTCAGGCAAAGGGTTCTGTGTCCACATTTGGACTAATGTGTTAAAGGATGATGCTGGTGTCAAGATGGAAGTGGTAACTTCATGAAATTCTAAAAGGAAGGTGAATTTCAGGGTCAAGAGTTGGGGACCTATGGGAATTCCCTGGTGGTCCAGTGGTTAGGACTAGGTGCTTTCACTGCCGTGGGCCTGGGTTCAATCCCTGGTCGGGGAACTAAGATCCCACAAGCCTCACAGCCAAAAAAAAAAAAAAAAAGTTGGGAACCTAAAGTTCAGCTACCCTTCTCCATGTGGAAAATTTCCCTGTAACACCAACCTCCAGTGATTGGCATTTGGGTAGGAAAGATGACATTCTCCTTACCCATGGAAAGGAGAGGATAACCTCTGCAGATCTCTTTCCTCTACCTATCCTGAGAAATTAGAGTTCTGAGGACTCAGAACATAAAGTGATCAACAACCTGGCAGCATGGCAATGGGAGACACATGGCAACTTAGCAAACAACCCTCTTTTACAGATGGCAGGGAGAAATTCAGAAGGAAAACAGGGACATTACGTGGCATGAATTCCAACCTCTCCCTCTAGAATGACTGTGCTCAAGGATAAGAGAACAAAAAAGCATGACTGACTTATGATTTCAATCTTCCCTCACATGTTTGTGCTGACGCTGTTCCCTCTGCCTCGAATGATGCTTTCCGCATTCCTCTGCTGGCTAGGACTCAACCCAGTCATCATTCCCTCTAGCATGCCTCACGCCCTCTCCATGTTGGGCTATACTCCCCCCTACACACACACACCCCTTGCTTCTGTAACTTGAAATGCCCTCTTCATATGTGTCCATAGAGACAAATTCTTATCCGTATCCATCTAGATCCAGTTAAAGTTTACTATCTATGAAACCTTTCAGACTAGATCAGCTAACAGTTAGCATTCCCCTTCTTTGAATTCTCACAAGAATAGCATTAGTGCAGTGGAAAAAAACTAAGTTCTGGACTGAAATCCTGGCTCTGTGACTTTTTAACTGTGGGTCCACGGGCAAGTGACTATTTCTGGGACCTTCAGTTCTTAACAGTTTCCTGTGGGTCAGTTAGCTCCCAGCTGGATTATAAAAAGCTAGGGAAGGGGCTCAGTCTTATCTTTCTCCTATATTCTACACAGCATCTAGCCAAAAGCTAGTCATGCAGCAGATGCTCGGCTAACATGTTGAATTAGTTTCCCATCACAGACCTTGCATGTGGTTCATCCTACTGAAACCTAGCAGCAACCCTCCCTCTTCTCTCTCAACATAACCATACCTTGCTCAGCACTGGTGTAGAAATACTTGTAGCTGGGGTTTCCATTCTCATTGATGATTTCAGGACGCACCTTGCCACTGGGATCTATTGTAGACAAAATGGCAGAGGGATTGCAATAGTTACAACAGAGAGGTACTTTAAGCACCATATGGTACATTAGGCCTTCTGGAAAACGAGACCTGCCCATCTTTGCAGCCCATTATCTCACCACCTTACCCCTTGTTTTTTATGTTGCAATCACAATGAATTCCTTGTAATTCCCTGAACACAACCCACCCCTACCCTCACTCCCCACCATGCCTTGGTATATGCTGGTCCCTCTTGCTGGCATGTTTCTTTTCTGTTTGATAATGGTGGGATCTATATTTTTATTTGTTTCCCCCATAGAATCTAGCAGAATGCTGAGCAAAGATTAGGTAGTCATTAAATATCTTTTATAAAATTGTTTGTGGAAATACATTTTTCTTGTTATAGAATCCCATTGCTTCAACCTCACTACAGGGTCAAGGGTGGGAACTGTGGCTTATCTCAGTCCCTGTAGTGCCTAGCAGTGCTTGACATATGGCTGATGCACAAATGATTGCTAAATGGATAAATGAATGATCACTACTCTCCCACTGCTCACAAAAGCAGTTAGTTTTGGGGTTTTGTTTTGTTTTTTACAAAAGCACGTAGTTAATGGGAAAAGTTTTCCTTCAGATCCGAGGTTCTGGCATTCAGAACTCCCCGTTCTCTCTTGAAACTGGTTTTTGTTTTTGTTTTTAGCCATCCCAATAAAATTTCACTAGGTGGAGTCAGTGCCTTGATTCATTTCTCTCTCCTTCTGCATCACAGATCCCCAGATTAAGACCTTTCACCTTACCCAGGAACAGGATTCGTGGAATATAACCCCCATCAGGGCTGAAATCTTCATCTTTGGGTTCTTCTTCATCCTGTTAAGTATAAACCTTAAGTCAGATCATGTTCCCTGTCTCCTCAAAGCCTTTCAGTGGCTTCCCCTCCCACTCAGGGTAAAACCTTAAGTCCTTGCAGTGGCCTAAGAGGCCCTACTTCACCTGCCACCTGGGCACTTCTCTAACATCACGCCCTACCCCTTGTCCAGTCTTTTCCAACCACACTAAGTTGCCTGCTGTTGCTGTCATTAAACAAGCCGGGCATGCTCCCCACTCAGGCTTTTGTATTTGCTCTTACACTCCTCCTGGACACACTTCCCCCTTCATCCACATGACTCACTCCCTTTTCTGCTTCAAATCTTTGCTCAAATGTCACCTTGTTTTCTAACTACCTAATTAAAATTGCAAACTATCCCCACCATTCTTCATTTTTAGCCATAGCATTTACCACTATCTGACATACTTTACTTATTTGTCTGCCTCCCCATATTCAATTCCTCATATGTAACTTAATGACAGCAAAGAATTTTGTCTGTTTTGTTCACTGCTGATTCTCAGTACCTACATCACTGACTTGCACAGTTTTTCTTGAATGCATGAATTGATGAGACTGACATTTTAGTACAATTGTGAAGTTACACTTCTCCCAGGAGACAAGACCACACAGTTAGCTTTCTTTTTACGAAATCTCTCAAGTTGGAGAATGCTCACCGAACACATTTCTGTTTCCTGTGAGTGGTGATTCTAACTCATCACAGAAAGTGGTGAGGCGTTTAGATGCATAGAAATCAACAGTAATTTTGTCGTTTATGGTGTGATTCCCATTTCAGAAGTTATATCAAATAGTTAATATAACTTTGCCTTCAGTGAGGTGTGTCAGCGTTCAGGCTATCCACTAGCTTTATAAGCAATCCCTTAGCTACCTCAACATTAACTGGTAATGTGTTCAGAAGATTTCCAGTCCTATGTTTAAATAAACATCATTTTATAGAAACAGGGCTAGGAGTATCATCACAGAGCATCCGAGCATCCCACATTGGAAGAGTACAGCCTAAAAGGCAGCACAGCTAGGTCACAGTACCTATTCTTATCACCTATTAGGCTCTATGACCTTGACTAACCTAACTCCTTCAGGCCTAAGATGCTCAATCTGTAAAACAGGGATAGCATCAATGGCCTAAAAATCCCTTCTAACTCTAAGATCTGATATTCTGACTTGGGATTCCAACACCTCTGGTCAATGTGAAATACATAAAGGATATCTAATGAAATAAGAAGAAGCTCTACATATAAGCCCAGCACAGAGTAGGGTTTCAACTGAATCATATTTTGCAGGGAATTGTGGCCTACACATGTGACCACATCTTTAGTTCAGTTATACAAAGATGTAAAAACATGTCATAATCATAAGCTAAAAGTGAAGGGACCTTAAAATTTAGTCATCTTATCCAATCTTTCTTCTCTTACTTCCTCCCACAAATGGGGGCTCGATAGCATTCTACCATATCTGATGCAAGACTTAGTATTAGAGTTCAAGAGAAAAACACATACAGACAAGAAAACAGCTCTGCTGAGTAAGATTTTATACCATCAATGAGGCTAACTCTAAAACAGTAAAGACTTAAAATCACAGCACAAAGGAGAAACTCTGGAAGTCTTACCTCAAGATTTACCATAACAAAATTATGGGAAAGTTCTGAAATTTCTGTAGATTCTGCAAATTTGGGCTTTAAAGCTAGGGGGAAGAAAAGATTTTGGAACAGAAGAAAACATCATTGTCATACCCAAACCCTAATTTGCTGAGATGATTCATATAACTGACCCTTTTGCTAATCTTAAGACCCAGAAATTAGGACACTTGAATTCTGGTCCTGCTTCTGCCATTTACTTGCATAGTTATGTAACTTAAGTGGCTGACTTTATTTCTCTTAAGCTTTCATCTAATTTATAAAATATAGATAACGGCATACTGACAAAAAAATTATTACTATTGGTTTTTTTACGTATTTCAATAACATCTATTTAAGAATAGATGTAATAAAGACAATAGAGTAACAATACTCTATCACTTATGTATATATATTATTAAACTAGCAATTTACACTAATTTTATACTCTTTTTCCTACATGATTTTATTAAGTGTAGCATACCAAACAAAAGGAGGAATCTGACTGGGAAGTGGCAGGCTGGTATACCAGAAAGAACACAGGCTACAAAGTAAGAAAACCTGGGCTCTAATTTGGTTCCCACCTCCTCCAGTAAGACCACTCCTCATGTCTCTCTCTGTTACATACAACTGTCCATACAACTATTGTAGCACCTGATCCCATATTCTACATAACCATATCTTAATTGCCTCACCCTCCAACCCCTTGCAAATACAACTGCAAATTTCTTGAGGGCAGGCAATCTATACCATAAATTTCTTAGGTATTCCTTCAAGCAATAAGCAGTGCTGAGCCAAAGTCAGTGTTAATATATTTTAAACATTAATATTTGAGAACACATCTGAGGTCTGATCATTTGCACCTACCTTTGCAAGCTCCACACCAGGACTTATGGATAATCACCATCAGGGGTAATCCACTTAAAAACAAAATGAAGAAATTATAATCTAGTAATTCCACTTCTTGAAATATATTCTAATAAAATGACCAACCAATGAAGACAAAGATTAATGTACAAGGATGTTCATGTAGTATAATTTCAATAAGAAAAATTTTAAGACAATCTATTCAATAATAGTGGACTATTACAACAAAATTATTGCTAAGTTCTGACATTCCAGTAAATTCTGCAAATTTGGGCTTTAAAGCTAGGGAAAAAAGACTGTAGAAGAAAACAACAAATTACAGCATTTCTAAATGTTATGGTTATATAACCACTGAAACGTTAATAAAATTTTTCACTAGTACACTGTTAAAGGCTAGAATATAAAATTATTATCTATAGTTTAGTTTTAATTATACAAATATGTAGAAAAGAGTCTAAAAGGAAATGTTCCAAAACATAATAGAGGTTATCTCTGGATAATGGGATTGTGGGTTTTACTATACTTTTCCTGTATTTCCCAATTTTTCTACAATTAAGTGTTTGTTTGTTTGTTTGTTTGTTTTGCCACACCATGTGGCTTGTGAGATCTTAGTTTTCCAACCAGAGACTGAACCTGAGCAGCGACAGGGAAAGCACCAAGTCCTAACCACTGGACCACGAGGGAATTCCCAATTAAATGTAATTTTTATAATCAGGGAGGAAAAGCTTTTTCTTTCATAAAATAATAAGCAACATATTCTACCTGAATCAGTCTTGGCCAGCTGAAGCTCTTACGCTCTCAAGGCTCAAATGCCGACTTGTAGAAGGGTCCTATGTAATCAGACGTTGGCTTTCTCCATCATCCAACCCCCATATCACCACATCACCACATGCTGTTCAATACTATCACAGCATTTAACACATTGAACTGTATCTTTTATTTACCACATTGAACTGTATCTTTTTATTTACTTAGAGCTTCTTAAGGAAGGAACTCTTAGCTGCCTCTATACTTCCTACACCTAATATAGAGAATAATATTACTGGTAGCAAAAACTTATACAGCATTTACTGTGTACCAGGTACTATTCTAAATATATATAAATTAATTTAGTAAGTGTCAAACGAATTAGTCAGCTATCTCATCATAGGCCTACTACAAATCTGGGACAGAATGGTGCCTCTAATACTTGTAAAAGCTTATAAACTAAATGAGCAGGACAAGGTTAGGTAAGAAGTGTGATCTACATAGCCATAATAATAATAGCCAAATGTGCTAAATATTTATTATATGACATTGTTGTATGTCCTTTACACACATTATCTCATTTAAATTCTCACAACAGGGCTTCCCTGATGGCACAGTGGTTAAGAATCTGCCTGCCAATGCAGGGACATGGGTTCGAGCCCTGGTCCGGGAAGATTCCACATGCTGTGGAGAAACTAAGCCTGTGTGTCACAACTACTGAGCCTGCACTCTAGAGCCCGCAAGCCACAGCTACTGAGCCTGCGTGCCACAACTACCGAAGCCCGTGCACCTAGAGCCTGTGCTCCACGATAAGAGAAGCCACCTCAATGAGAAGCCCGTGCACGGCAACAAAGAGTAGCCCCCGCTCACCGCAACTAGAGAAAGCCCGCACGTAGCAACAAAGACCCTATGCAGCCAAAAATAAATAAATAAATTTATATATATATAAAAATCCTCACAACAATCCTAAGGTAATGGTCTCATAATAGAAATGAGAAAACTGAGACTTCCAAGAAATTAAACTTTTGGCCACATAAATTCTAGGTTCTGCCACTTTAGTAGTTAACTTGTAAGTCTGACTCCAGAATCAATATTCTTTCTGACCACTATGTCTACTTCAATTTAGAACAGCAATCCAGAATCCATGGGTTTAAACCCAATCAACTGATAATCAACTAACTTGGAATTTGAGAATGAAAATGGAAGAGGTCTTAGATGCTGCCTAGTCCAAACCTCCATTTCATGCAGGAATCCAGTCTCATATATCAGAAACAAAAGGTAGTCCAGATAACCTGATAAACAAGAAATAATCACCAACCAAGGCAGCCCATCCTTTTAACAGCACGGTGTACTTACAGAACAGTTTAGAATGTCTTGCTTTCTCTTTTCTCTCAAGCAAACTCCTATTCATCCTTCTAGAGCAGAGGTAAGCAAACTAGTCTGCAGGCCTAATCCAGCCCACTGCCTGCTTCTGTACTGTAATTATATACAAACATATACAAACATGGTTTTTTTTTTAACATTTTTAAATGTTTGAAAAACAAATCTGAAGTATAGTACCTTGTGATATATTAAAATTAAATATAATTCATATTTCAGTGTAACTGGTTTTATTAAAACACATTCACACTTATTTGTATACTTATTGTCTATGGCTGCTTTTGTGCTACCATGGCACAGTTGATAAGCTGCAACAGAGACCCTATGGCCCTCACAGCCTAAAATATTTACTGTTTGACCCTTTCCTGACCCTTGCTCTAGAGTGACAGTCCAAATGTAAACACCTCTGTGAAGCCTTCCCAAAACCACCACCTCTCAACAGCTAGTTGGTCCAATTCCTCCTCTGGGATCACAAAGCATTCTAACCGCCAGTCCTTTTTATCCTCTAATCACCTGTTTACTTGTCTAAACTACTAACTTCTCAAGGACAAAGACTATCTAATACATCTTTGAAAAACACAAGCACTGGTAAGGTAGTGCCTTACCATTTGTTTACTGAAATCAATGAAAAAAATGAAAGACAAGCTTAAAGTGCTATTTGTCTTGAAAAACAGAATGAAGCACCCAGTTATGGGAGTTGTCATAACAGTCACCCTACGTTAAGACCAAAGCATCGAGACTCTCACCCAGCACTATGAAAGTATTTTTGATCAAAGGCATAACAGGGATACCTGTGTATCTAAAATGTTACATTAAGTAAATTACATGAAGAACATAAAGCAAAAGAGATGGCAGCACACTGCCTTCATCTAAAAGATTTTATTAAATGAAACAATCTAGTGGTTTTGTGTTTCACCATTAGAACCAAAGCTTCCCAAGGACAGAAACCAGTGGATCTATCTGTGATCCCAGGCCCCAGGACAGAGACTAGCAAAAAGTAGGCACAGTACTCAAAAAACTGTGGTATGAAAAAAGGGCCAGTACAGATGCAAAACTGTGTCATCTTCAGTTCTGTTCACAATTATTTGAAAACAATTCATCCATCCAGTCTGCTTTCCCACAATTCAGATGGGGGAAATCAATGGTATGTGATATCCCAAGTAGAACCCAATCTAAGTAAACCCTGTCCACCAGAGCTCTGTCCTCTAGAGAAACTTGCCAAGCTCCTCCAAGCTAGTTCTCCATTCTTTCTAGTCTCAATTTATGCTGTAAACTCAAGGCCTGGCACAGAGGCATTCAGAAACGTACGAGTGAATCGGTCACAATAGCTCTATTTCCACGCATCAATATATTCTGCAGACCTTCAGATTATTCTTCCCAGAGAAACAGAGAGTGCAGTAGTTAGACAAGGAGCCATGACTTTCCCCCACCAGCTCTGGTTAGTGCAGGCTCTGGCTCAGATACTGCAGAAACATGTTGGCCAGTTGAGGCAGGTTCTCATTGTTGGGATGCATTTTGGTGTAGGATATAAACTGGCGACGGAGGCGACTCAGTTCTGCCATGGTCAAAGGCCGGGTAAACCGCAGGTGCTCTGTGGTGCCAGGAAGCTTAAGCAAGTCTCCAGGGACTGCGCTCTTCTGAGCTTCCATCAGTCCTGCCAACACCTGGCTGGTGACCTGGTCCAATTGGTGCAGAAAGGTGCCGGAGGCAAGTGGCTGTGACTGTGTAGACTGATGCGGTGGAGGAGCCCGGTTCTCAAACAAGGCAGCTCTGATCTCTGACAGAGGCAACGGCTCCTCTAAGCCCACCAAGGTGAACAGGGGCCGGTCCCAGCGGTTCCGAGAGTCGGGAGCTTCGAAGCGCAGCGCTAGGGCCTCCAGAAGTTCGGGAGGGTAAAAGGCACCGGACACATGCTCTGCAGATTTCTCGAATTCCGAAGTCACAAGAGCTGGAAAATCTGGCGTCCTGGTTTCCTCCCGCTCCAGTTCCTTAGGTACTTCCGCCTGGACTCTCCCATTTACTACAGAGTCCACAGCCTGCGGTTCCCCGAGGACACCGGTGCCCGCCGCCAGAGGTCTCCCTCCCTCCTCAGCTCGCGGCCTCCAACTCACACTGACATTGCGGCTCGGACTCTCATCCGCGCCCGCCACCCGCGGTCCCCCGCTCAGACCGCCTGGCCTTACGCAGTAGACCAGGCAGAGCGGAGTGCGCGCCGCCCGCGCCAGGCAGTACAGCTCGTAGCGGAAGCCCTTGATGTAATTAAGCGAGTCGAGGATGACCACTTCGTGGCGACTCAGGCGCCGCTCCACGGCGGCTCGCAGGGCCCCACGCAAGGCCTTCTCACGGGCCGAATCGCCGTACACTGTCGCGTCCTCCGCGCCCAGCACCTCCGCGTCGTCCACCACGTACACCGCGCGGCCCTCGGCCGCCAGTGCCACGCGGAGCTCCTCCGCGCGCCGGCTCTTGCCGCTGTACGGCAGCCCGCAAAACACCACCAGCGGCATCCTCCCAGGGCGCGGCCATGTGCAACCGTGCAGCGTCAACTTCCGGGTTGCCGGCTGCTCCGACGCAAGCCGGAAATGCAAGCCACACTTCCTGCCTCCCTTGACTCTTACAGGACCTCTGTTGCTATGGAAACAGGAGTTCTAGACCAAGGAGAGCCAGATCCTGCTCTCTCCGAAAGGAGATGGAGCTTAGAACGGCATCGGCTATTTCTGTCAAATGTTATACGTCTCAGGAGAATGTGATCTCCTGGCAGCCAAAGACTATGTCCATCAATTTATAATGGAGCCTTAAAGAACATTAAATATTGCAAAACAATCAGCACTATATTTTGCAAATGGAAGACAATTCACAAATACTAGTTCCCCTTCATTCCTTACAGCCAATAACATTCAGTAACTGTTTATTCAATAACCATTTCAATCATTCAATATCTTCATGGTTGGGAATTCAGAGATGAACATAAAACAGTACCCCGACAAAGCAAGGGTCTGAATGGGAAAAGTCAGGCACCTACAGGCAGAATAACATACACTCTAACGGATAGAGGTAGGTTGGGTTGTAAAAGTACAAAAGAGAAAAACAAAATGCCCACAAAAATTGCCGAAGACTTTACCTAGGAATAGTCATTTGATTTAGAAAGTGAAAAACTAATAGGAATTTTTCTCCTGGGTAAGGATGCCAGATAAAATATAGGATGCCTAGTTAAATTTGAATTTCAGACAATCAACAAAAAATGTTTTTAAAATAAGTATGTCTCAAATATTACTTGGGGCATATTTAAAATTACTTATTGTTTACCTGAAATTCAAATTTAACTGGGCATGCTTTATTTTTATTTGCTAAATCTGGCAACCCTACTCCTGCAGAAGGTATGAGGCTCACAGCCATGAAGTTGTAGGATCTGTTCTAGCAAAAGCAAGCACTACAGTTTGGTAGGTGCAGAAGTGTGAGTATTCCCGTGCAAGGATGTGTGTGTATAAAGGAAGTGCACATACATTGTATCTTTATATCTCTCCAGTACAGTATAGTAGAGAATGTTCAAGTCTTGGCTCTGCTACTTACTTACTAGCTGTGTAAACTATTGTCAAGTTATGTAACCATTGTGTATCTAAATTTCCTCTCCTGTAAAATAATAACAATGGTTCTTATTTCACAGGCTGAACCAACCTCATAGGTTGTGAGGATTAAATAAATTAATGAATATAAAGCATTCAGATCAATGTTTAGCCTTTCCTCCCCTGTTCTGCCTTTTCCTCCTCCTTTGTATAAGTCTTCTGTGAATAGACTAAACCTACTTGGAACTTAAGACTATTCAACTTGAGACTATTAGGCAGTATGGCTTACTGGTTGAGTATAGGCTCTGAAGCCAGAGTGTCTGGGTCCAGATCTTGGCTCCACCACTTAACTAGCTGTGTGATCTTGGGCAAGTTATTTAACTGATCTATGCCTTAGTTTTCTCATCTGTAAAACGAAGATAACAACAGTACCCACCTCAAAAGAGTTGTTGTGAGAATTAAATGAGTTAATTCACATAATTCAATGTCTGGTGCATAGTAAGCACTTAATAAATGTTAGGTAGTATTATTATTATTGTTGTTATCAGGCAGCCCCTCCATTGCTCTGCCTTGGCATAATCCTTCACCTGAAATTAATGCTAAGTTGAGGGCTGGAAAGTGTTTTACCACCGTAAGTAACCTAAAACCATATCTTGTACCTGGCAGCTGCTTCTTTCTTCCCATCTTCTAGTGTCCTCCAATGAATGTGATCTCCAAAACCTGGAAGAAAAGAGCCTCATAAACATTCACACATGAACAAAGGGCAAAGACCCAAGAAAGAAATGTGGCATGTTCACAAGATACTCATAAAAAAAGGCTTTCCTTTGTCAAAAGCATGGTGTTCAAGTCCCAAATCCACTGCTTTCTAGGTGTATGGGACCATGGACAGTCCTATACCTCAAGCCTCAGTTTTCATACCTGTAAAATGGAGATATCGCCTAATTCAGTTTTTAAGGAGATTAAATTAAATAATGGTGGACTTCCCTGGTGGTGCAGTAGTCAAGAATCTGCCTGCCAAGGCAGGGGACACAGGTTCGAGCCCTGGTCCGGGAAGATTCCATATGCCATGGAGCAATTAAGCCCATGCGCCACAACTACTGAAGTCCACATGCCTAGAGCCCGTGCTCTGCAACAAGAGAAGCCACCGCAATGAGAAGCCCTCACACTGCAACGAAGAGTAGCCCCCACTCACTGCAACTACAGAAAGCCCACAAGCAGCAGCAAAGACCCAACACAGCCAAAAGTAAAATTAATTAATTAATTAATTTTAAAAAGACCTAAATGTAAGACCTGAAACCATAAAACTCCTAGAAGGGAACATAGGTAGAACACTCTTTGACATAAATCGTAGCAATATTTTTTTGTATCAGTCTCCTAAGGCAAAAGAAATGAAAGCAAAAAGGAACAAATGGGACCTTATTAAACTTAAATGCTTTTGCACAGCAAAGGGAACCACTGACAAAACAAAAAGACAACCTACCAAAATGGAAAAACAAATTGCAAATAATATGACCTATAAGGGGTTAATATCCAAAAATATATAAACATCTCATACAGCTCAATATTAAAAAAACCAACAACCCAATTAAAAAATAGGCAGAGGATTTGAATAGACATTTTTTCAAAGAAGACATAGAAATGGCCAATAGGCACATGAAAAAATACTCAACATCACTAGTCATTAGGGAAATGTAAATCAAAACCACAATGAGATATCACCTCACAGCTTTCAGAATGGCTATCTTGAAAAAGACAACAAATAATAGATGTTGAAGAAGATATGGAAAAAAGAGAGCCCTTGCACACTGTTGGTGGGAATGTAAATTGGCACACTGTGGAAAACAGTATGGAGGTTCCTTTAAAAATGAAAAATAGAACTACTATGTGATCCAGTAATTCCACTCCTGAGTATATACCTAGAAAAAATCGAAAACTAATTCAAAAAGATACATGCATCCCAATGTTCATAGCAGCATTATTTACCAACAGCCAAGATATGAAAGCAACCTAAATGTCCATCAACAGATGAATGGATGAAGAAGATGTGGTATATACAGGGGAATTCCCAGTCATTAGGACTCAGCACCTTCACTATGGTGGCCCAGGTTCAATCCCTGGTCAGAGAACTAAGATCCCACAAGGCACGCAGTGTGGCCAAAAAGAAAAAAAAATTATATATACATATAATATATACTTTATATATATATAATGGAATATTACTCAGCCATAAAAAAGAATTAAATTTTGCCATTTGCACCAACATGGATGGATCTGGAGGGTATTATGCTAAGTGAAATAAGTCAGACACAGAAAGACAAATACTGTATGTTAAAAAAAAATTAAAAAAAATACTGTATGTTTCCACTTATATGTGGAATCTAAAAACTAAAAGAAATGAATGAATATAACAACAACAAAAAGAATTTAGAACAGTGTCTGGGACTGGAGAATTGCTACAAGTATTTGCTATTAATATACCAGGCACTATTCTAAGTACTATACCAATATTGATCTTCATAACAACCCTAGAGGTAGGTACTCTTATTAATACCATTTTACACATGAGAAAACCAAGGCACAAAGTTTAAGTAACTTGCCCAAGTTCACACAGCTAATGAGCATCAGAGCTGGAAACTGAACCTACGCACTCAGGGTCCAGACTCCTTACTTGTAAGCACTAAACAATGCTGTCCTTCAAAGCAGAAGGAGGTAAGGACAAAGAGGCAAGGGAGGGAGTAGACAATGCAGGGCCTGATAGGCCACTATAAAGATTCTTGCTTTTACTAAGCTCTTAGTGGGTTTTGAGCAAAGTATCAATGGTAACATGATGTGATTTGTTTTAACATGATTGCTCTAGCTTCTGTGATGAAAACAGACTAAAGGAAGTGCTATGGGTTGAACTGTGTCCCTCCAAAAATGATATGTTGGAGTCTTAATCCCCAGTACCTCAGATTGTGACCTTATTTGGAAATAGGATCTTTATAGAGGTAATCAAGTTGAAATGAGGTCATCAGGGTGAGACCTAATCCAATACGGTGTCCATATAAAAAAGAGAAATGTGGACACAGATATTCACACAGGGAGAGAACCCAGCCATCTATAAGGAGACAGGCCTGGCACAGACCCTTCCCTCAGCCTTTAGAAAGAACCGATACTGCCAATACCTTGATTTTGAACTTCTAGTCTCCAGAACTGTGAGACAATAAGTTTCTGTTGTTTAAGCCACTCAGTTTGTGGTGCTTTGTTATTGCAGCCCTAGCAAACTAATACAGGAGAGAAAGGCAAAAACAAAAGAGACTGGGAAAGTGGTTATTGCAATAATCCAATCATGCAATGACAGTGGTTTGGACCAACTGTGGTGGTAGAGGGAGTAGATCCTATCAGATTCTGGACATATTTTGAAGGTAAAGGCAAAAGGATTTTGTTCTGGATATGGGGTGAGAGAAGTTAAGAATGACTCTAAGGTTTTTGGCCTGGGCAACTAGAAGAATGGAGTTGTCATTAATAGAGATGGGAAAGAGAGTAGGTGGAGTGAGTTTTAGAAAGGAACATTAAAGAGCTTGGATTTGGAAATGTTCATTTTGAGATGCTTACTAGACATCTAAGTAGAGATGCTGAATAAGCAACTGAATATCTGAGCCCGGAATTCAAGGGACAGTTATCAGCATACTGATGTTATTTAAAGCTTAAGACTGAATAAGATCACCATGGGAGTGAGTGTAGATGAAGAGGGAGTCCAGGAGCCCTGGAGCACTCCCAGGTTAAGGGAGATAAAGAAGAACCAGCCAAAGATGTGGGAAAGAACTACCAGTGAGATCAGCAGAAAACCAGCAGCACATGCAATCCCAGAAGCCAAGTGTTTCCAAGATGTTTCAAGAAGGAAGGATGATCCACTGACACCAATGCTCCTATTAAATCAGAAATGACCACTGGATTTAACAAGTGGAGAATAATGCTGACCTTGACAAGACCAGTTTCAATAGAGGAGCGAGGATGAAAAGATGATTAGAGCAAGATCAAGACAGCCCAGGGGAAGAATTAGAGAACAAGTACACACAACTCTCTTAAAGAATTTTGCTGTACAGGGGCAATTGCTAGAGGCAGCTGTGAGTCCATGAAAGGTTTTTATTCAATATGGAGGAAAGTATAGGATGTTGAAAGCTGATAGAAATGATATAATAAAGGTAGAAAAACTGATGATACAGGACTAAAAGGGAGAGTAGAAAATATCTTGAGTAGATGAAAGGAGATGGGATTTAGTACTCAAGTAGAGGGATCAGCCTTTGCTAGGAGCCCTGATAGCTCATCCAGTAAAGACAGGAAAGGAAGGATATATGGATACTGGTGCTAGAAGGTAGGTAAATCTCGTGGTGACAATTTTTGAAAGGTCTCTTCCGAGTCCTTCTACCTTCTGTTAAATAGGAAGCGTGGTGACTGGCTGAAAGCAAGGATTGTGGAGGAAGTATTGGAGGTTTGAAGAGACAAAAGTAAATACGAAATAGTCTTCTGGGAGAAAACCAGAGAAACTAAGTGATAAAAGGCATGTTTCAGGAAAGAAGTGATTCCAGAAGAAAGCCTAAATACAAGGAACAGTGAGCAAATTAACTGGTAAACATGTAGATAAATCTAAATATTATCTGTATAAAAATTTAATGCTTAATTTATAGAGTTAAAAAAGGAGAGAGAATTAAAATATTGGACAACAACAGCTTATAAGGAAAGAGGAAGAGACTGAAGTTAAAATATTCTAAGGCCCACTAACCATTGGGGGGTTAAGATATTAATGTTAGATTTTGTTAAATATGTGAGTAAAATTTCAAAAGTAACCACTAAAAGAACAGAACTAGAGTGCCAACTTCCAAACTCATAAAGGAGATAAAGCAAGATAAGAACCAGCAAATACTCAACCCCCAATGAAAGGGCAAAAAAGAGCAAATAAGGATAGAAAAAACAGTAGCAACGGAAATTGGATGAGAGAAATAAGACCAGCTCTGTCAATAATCACCACAAACATAAGTGAACTAAACTTGCCAGTTAAAGTTAAAAGACAGAATTTGTCAGATTTTGGTTAAAAAAAAACAAAACAAAAAGAAACTACCTCTATGTTTACAAGAACACCTAAGACAAAAGGACTTGTAAAAGTCAAAAGTAAAATGATTGAAAAATATATCCCAGGCAAATGTCAGCCAAAAGAAAGTCAGGGAAGCTAGATTACTATCAGGCAAAATAAAATTTCTCCATAAACATGGACTACTCAGAAGCTAGGTGACAAAGCTTACAGCCATAGGAGGTTATTGCTAAGAGAGAGCCTAGGGCAGGACTGTTCAATTGAACTTTCTCCAGTGATGGAAATTTCTATAGCTGCACTGTTCAATATGGTAGCTATTAGCTGTTGAGTACTTGAAACATGGCTAATGCAACAGAGGTGCTGAATTTTTTATTTTATTTTATTTTATTTTAATTAATTTAAAAATTAAGAATGACATATTCCTAGTGCTACTTTATCGGACACCACAAACTTAGAGATCACTCTAATCCTCTCATATTACAAAGGCCTGGAAAACGGAAGAGGCTACCCAAGACCACAAAGGAAGCCACAACCAGAATTTAGTCTGATTCCTAATTAAAATGCTTTTCCAGTGCCCCTGGCTGCCCTACTGCATTATCCCTACGAGTAAGTCTAGAGGTATAATTTGAAACAGTTCACTACGTGTATAAAA